TAAAAAACATAGAAGTCTTCTTTGAAGCCATGCATTTTAACCATTATGTTACCTGCTAAAGTTTTAAATAAAGTTTAGTGGTTTGGTAATGCTGGGGAAGGCTGTCTGCCACCGCCAATAAGGAACCTTCAGTTGGAGTTCAATTGGAAGAGGCGACCATCTTGAATCAGCTTGCCTGCCAAAGCGAATCCAATGTAGATGAACATCCAGTGTTTACGGTACTTTCGGAGTGTTCTTCCACTGTTTTATATTTTGCTAACAGACAAAGAAATATAAATACACATACCAAGGCAATTGCATGACAACCAGCTTTTTGATAACAGGGATTAACAATCTGTAATGCCGTCTGTGTGCTGTTGAGCTTAAAACACATTTTTCTAGTTGATAAAAAATTACCGTACAGTTTCTGTTGAAGTACTGCACAGCAGCACACCGTCGTAGTCATGCTGTACACATCCAAAGTATTAAAAACACCCGGTGTAAACTTGATCATATTTAATCAAATCATATACGCTGATGATGACAAGCCGTACAAAAGCAGTTACCAAACATTTTGTTTACAACTTGGACCCAGTCAAATCTGCAATAAAAAAAAACAACATCAAATAAAAAATGATAACACAACAATAAGTTTCCGGTAGTTTCATAGTGGATTCAACAAGGCAAAAATTGACATCAGAATTTGACGATAAACAAGGACAATAAGGAATACTTCTTTTTTTTTTCATTTTCTTTTTGATGCAATATATTTTCATAATACAACACTCAACAGACAAAATACTAAAAACTTGTGGAAAAATCGAATAACGCATGACGGGTTTGAAAAGCAGGACGTATATGGCACTTATTTCTTAAAACATTTGCTCTTTTTTTCACAGAAGGTGCTTTTAATGGCATGCTATTTGTTAATGGGGTTCCCATGGTAACGGTGAATAAGCTGGAGGGGCAACAATCAAATGTGTATTTTCCGGCAGTAGATGGCGGCATTAGCTTTGCTTAAATTCTTACTTGATATATACTATATCTAAAACTGGAGCAAAATATATATTTTTTTTTTATCAATTTAAATATATTTAAGAAAGTCTGTGGTTGGAGTCAGTTTTGGCGTTTTAATGTGAAAAGTTACTTTCATAGGAGCATAAATCGATGCCATTTAATTAAATGTATTAGTGGTTGTAAAGACTTTGGGATTAAAATCAGGTTTTAAAACAATAGTTGTAGAAAATAAAGGTTTTACACTGTCATGGACTTACGGACCTCTCATTACCGTGACAATGCCAAAATAAAATTGTATATTTTTGCTGCATTTACTTAACCGGTGCGATCCTATGTGTCAAACTTAAGGCCCGAGGGCCAAATATGGCCCTTGTTAACGTCATCTGGCCCCTAAGATGATATTTTAAAAGTAAAATATCCTTACCGCTTTTAATTTTACTTCAAAATTTAGCCTACAAGACTTCTCAAGATAGTTGGACAACTTCAAAGCCAAGAAAAAACTAGCTTGAATTTTTCCGTAATATTTGATTTTGATGATGATGGTAAAAGTGACAAAGAACATCAAATGAGAGAGATAAAACTTTTGCAGCCCAGAAAAGATGTCGAGTATCTGACTGGAGGTCGTGTTGACTGAAGTTGGTCTTTGATTTGAAATAAGTTTTAATTTTTTTTACCCTTTTTGGAATTGGGTTTGATGCTGCTGAAACACTGATTTTAGGGCCAGATTCAATATTTTACTCAAGTACTTAAAATGGGGGGGGGGGGGGGGGGGGGCAAAGAATTTTTTTTTTTTTTTTTTTTTTCCCTTTGCCGTAAAAAAAAAAAAAAAAAAAAAAAACGCGGGG